AAAAAAAAAAAGAAAGAAAATGTGCTATGCATCCCTGATGGAATACTATTCAGCCTTGCAAAAGGAGATTCTGTCTTGTGACAACACTGATAAACCTGAAAGACATTACACTAAGTGAAAGCCACAAGCAGAAAGACAAAAAGTACATGGTCTTACTCATATGTGTAATCTTAAAAAGTCAAACTCATTGAAGTGGAGAGCAGAGTGACAGCTACCAGGGACGGGGTGATGGGGAGGGGAGGAAAGGGAATAGGGAATTCAGTCAAAAGGTACAAAGTTTCAGTTAGGAGTAGTACATCTGGAGACCTATTGCACAGCAGGGTGATTCTAGTCAATAATAATGTATTGTGTATTTCAAAATAACTAAGAGTAAATTTTAAATGTCTTACCACTGCAAATAAGTAAGTGAGGTTACGGCTATCAGATTGATAAGGGAGGTACCTGGCTATTAGGTAATGGTTAATCAGATTGATTTAAAGATTCTACATTGTATATCAAATCATCACATTGTACTCCACAAATGTATACAGCTATGATTTTTTAATTAAAAATTAATTCTGAAAATTATAGCTTGCAAAAATTTATTTAAAAAAGAAAAATATCTAAATCTTTATACAGAATGTGAGACATATAATTCTAAGGCAAATTACTTGGTTTAATTCATAACATAAAGAATAATTGTGAAAAATATTTTCAGTGTATTACTCTAAAGTAACATAAATTTAATGGCGTACAGCAGTAATTTAGACTTCATGGAAAATGTAACAATGAATTGCAAAATAGGATATCTATTCTTTAAAAGGTTACACACTTTTAAGAAAGAGAAAGTGAGTATATACATAACAATACAAGGCAGGGTATGGAAAATGATCTGATTGGAACAGTGTGCTTGGACAGTCACAGGAGAAATAAAACTTTTAACAGAGGAAACCAGAAAAGGATGGAGTTAAAATTCAACTACCACTTATGGAATACCTGAATATCCTTGGGAAGAAAATGGTCTGAGTAACAGCAGAGGCTAGGAAAGCCCTGGAATTCCTCAGACTAGACTAGCTAGATACTGAAAAACATGTAAGTGACTAATTAGAGATTGATTAGAAAGAGAATTTCAGGTCAGACCAGGGAGGTTTTGAACAGCAAGGGAAAGAAGTAAGATACCGTTTAATAGGCAGTGCAGAGCCATAGAAGTTTGGGGAACTGAGAAGCGTGGTTTTCAACGTTGGACTTCAAGGAAATCAGGTTAGTGGTGGTCAACCACGGTGGGAGGAGAGGAAAGACCAGAGGCAGGGAGGCCTGAAAGGAGGGTGATGGCACTAGGAAGAGAAAGGGAGGGGTGGGAAGGAAGGACACGGCAGGGGTACAACAAACAGTACTTGAAGATTGAAAGAGAGAGGGATGATTCAGTGATGACTCAGCTGTGTAGTCTGAGTGACCCAGAAAACAAATCAAAAAGAAAGTGTGAGTTAGTTTAGAATTAATAGATTATACATTTATAAAGGAATAAATGTGTAGATACAGATGTAAGAGTTACTATATTTTAGAGTAATCTACATTAGAGGTAAAGTTGGTGTTATTTAAATAGACTCACCAATTATGAGAATGTATTTCTAACATAGACAAATAATTGCGTATCTATCTATGTCAAAATCTTCCCATAGTGCTTGTATTCTGTACCACTGTAAGACCACAGCACAGGATCATGGCAAAGTACCTGAGAATATAGGGGTGGGCTGGGACGGGAAGTTTGCATGTAGAAATAAATATAACCACAATCAGCTGGGGCCTTTTACATTCCAAATTAATTCCCTGAAATAAATTTTCATCACTGATGTTTAGAGATTGAAATACGAAGCAATCTATTCAAATTATTTATCTCCATTCAAACTAATTTCTCTTTTCCTCTGAGATCAACATTGTTTTCTAGCTGACAGAATTAATTACCATCAAGAATAACATATTTCGTAAGAGTACAAATCACAACCTTGATTTCATAAGAACATTGTTACATATGTTTTCCTGCCTGCAAGCTCTTATTGACACCACCTCTGACTTACAGATACACCTTCTTCACCTTCTTATGTTATGCTCCTTTAAACCACACTCGATACTGAGATGCTTCTAAAAGGGATTCATCAAAACACACATTCTCCAAGCCTCACCTGTTTTTGGTTTCTCTGGAGGGCTGAGTTTCAGATGTTCATCGTCTGAGGAAAGGCTCACATTGGTAACACACAGTTCCTCATCCAAGAAAGAGGGCCTTTTCAGTCTTCCAATGCCAAGAGTTTTCGACATAAAATAGTCTTTTTTGTCACTAACAACCTCATCCTTGGAAAACTGGAGGCATTTCAGATTCTCTACTTCAGTGACAAGAGCTTCAGAAGTGGACTGCCCAGCCAAGGCTTTGGTGAGATAGTAGGTTCTAGAAGCTTTGCCTTCTGTATCATCAAGCATGCCGGCACCTTCTACCTCAGTTTTCTGGACCTCTGTTTCTGACCCATTTTGTAACTTAGAGATGATGCATCTGGAAAGCTGGTGGAACTCTGGTATTACATCCTCAATGTCTTCATTTCCTCTTTCTGAAGAAAGTCTAGATTTTTGTTTGAATGTGCATTCATCCAGAAGACACTTTAACTGTTCCTCAGAGAGAAGTGATGGGGAATCTAACTGATGAAACAAACCAAAAGTTTACATTCTCAATTGGCTGAGTAAAAACACATTTATTTTGGTAAGCTTCCAGTAACATAATATAAATGCAAGTGCCATGAAACCCCTTACGTAACACATGCAAATAGGAAAATAATTCACTTTAAAGAATACAAAAGCTAACAAACATAGGAAAAATTCTAATCATCCCTAATCATCAGAGAAATGCCAATCAAAACAATCCTAAGCTATCACTTAACCCCAGTGAGAATGGCCCACATCACAAAGTCTCAAAGCTGCAGATGCTGGTGTGGATGTGGAGAGAAAG